CTGCACTTCTTCTGCCCACCAGAGTGCCCAGATAAACAGTTAATGATGGCAGATTTACAAGCGTTGTTTACATTCAACCCGTTTCTATTATTTCTGACTTTTCATTTCAAGATGATATCAGATCGCGGTTGGGAGAAACAATAATTCTATTGATAAGAGAAATTTCAAGCTAAACATTAGCAAAGTTAGTTCAAAGTCATTTTAAATGTAATAAACACCCCAATTACTCCAAAATATATTATTAGTAAAAAAATTCATGATCTGATGAGTTTAGTAGCCTATTTACTCAGGAGTCATGACTCATGAGTACTGCCGAGGTAGAATGGGATCTGGTCGAACCACGCTGTGGTGCCGCCTAGCCGGTAGGTAGCGCAATGTCATATAATTTGTAATGCCTCTGTTATACTATTTTTAGAAATATTGTACTGAAAATTGCTGCAAATTGTGGCGTATTTCTAATGAACTACATGTTGCTTTTTATGTCTAATTAACTGATTCATCGACCTGCAAGTTACATGCGGATGCGAGCGGAGGTGCGACCATTCACGGTTCACCATAGTCTGATATGATAGTCACGTGATAGTAGCAAAAAAAAAGGTCCTTACCTAACTGAACCTAACCTTGAGGACCGTCGAAACTGGAATAATTTATTTATTGTAGCCTAGCTAAGCAGAGACTTCCTTTTTCAGTTTGTTAGGAAATAAAAATGAACATCTAAAAAAATCTACTGGATGCCACTTTGTGTATGTAGTTATGTTATATCAATTAATTGGGATAACTGAAATAGCCCAGCATTGCCCAATACCAGCATAATTTTCACACTTCACCCCGTGCGCGAGCATTCTGCAGAGCAAATTAGCCAACATGATTACTTGCTGAAAGCCACACTGCAACAGGGACTAAATCCCTTCATCATCAAGTTCATGGATGTAAACCAGCAAGCCAATGAGCTTCAACCTGCAAGCCGCCAAAACAATGGTCGTAACCCACACATTAAATCCCAAAATATTTCTATTCCATGCAGCCTAGCCCCTTCACCACTTTTGATAAAGAACGCCCTGCCGCCCCTGCGCCACAGAGCTATCAGTACACTGCTAAGTGCTACCTCTCCAGCCTCAGCAGTGAATGGATATAAAATATTTGATTTGTGCACATGTTTATTTCAAACAGTGTTAGGTTTTCTCAGCCTGTCTGTTCTTCTAAAGGCTATTCCCCTGCCCATAGTGGCAAAGCAGAGTTTTTTTTAGACTCCCTCAAGTTTATTTTCGAGTCCTATAAGTAGACCAGTAAAGTATCATGGATACCTCATACCAGCATTATCATACATAAGAAATTGGTTTAAGTCATGAGTAAATGAGGAAATTAAAAAGGTATTATTGCAGATTAACTACATCCAAAAAAAAGGGTGTTTTTTTTTTTGAATTATATGTTTTTTGGGGTGTAGATTACGAATCTGAAATCCATTTTTGGCGGTCGGCATCGGAAAACCGATTTTTTTCGCGACTTACTAACATGGGGGTTACGTAACTTACGTTACCCACTCACCTTTATTTACTAACATGGGGGTTACGTAACTTACGTTACCCACTCACCTTTATATAAAGGGTCGGATTGTTCATCGAAATTTTACAAAAAGCTCTTAGGTTGGGTTAAGTCAGCCAAGTTCCTTTTTTTAGATAGCATTTTGATCTAAAAGGAACCTGGGCGAACCAACCCAACCTGCGAGTTGGCGTTAGGTTGTGATCTCTCGATGTGGCAATGTATCTCCAGATTTATGGACAAAGAAGACGAAAATGTTACCCGTTGCAGTGCAACGGGTAACATTTTCGTCTTCTTTACCCGTTGCAGTGCAATGGGTAAGTTTCATTCGTTTCATTCGATTTTTGGGTCGGAAAAAAATCGGTTTTCCGATGCCGACCGCCAAAAATGGATTTCAGATTCGTAATCTACACCCCAAAAAACATATAATTAAAAAAAAACACCCTTTTTTTTGGATGTAGTTAATCTGCAATAATACCTTAATAATGAACTGATTCTAAAAAATCTCTGGTTTGTCATTATGCCCCTGCCTGTCTGTTCTTCTGGAGGCTAAAGTCTAAACCCCCCTCACTTACCCCCTGCTCCCCCCCTTTTGGTACCAGCTTGCAGAAGAATTCTAACCTAACCCTTTCGCGGAAAGGTGGAGAGAAGTGGGTAGCTAGGGAAGAAGATGCTGGTGAACGTCAGGGCTGGGCTTACGCCTGCAAAGTGGGTAAGGTGATGCGACAGTCCAGTGCAGGGCCGTTCCCATTTACAGCTGTCTGGTGCTGTGGTGCAGTCTGCGGACCCTGTGGCTTACAGCATTTGTAAGAAGTGATGGTATGGGCTTAAATCATTGGTGTAGGAGCTATTGGGCGTAATCCATTTGGAGTATCAGGTTTGGGCCAAGGCATTGCTTATTTCCAGCTGCTGTGGTGAGATGAGGCAAGTAAGAACAGCTGCATAGGTGTTAGGCTGACTATTTCTATTGCATGTAGAGGGTTGGCATTGGCTCTTGGGCTGAGTTAAGAGTCAAATTTTTGGGCTACGGCAGTGCTCCCGTTATATCAACTATCTAGAAGAGGGGTGGGACCGGTGGCGGTGGGTGAGACTGAGTCAGTGAGTAGTGACTGACTGACTGGACACAGCCAGACAGCCTGCTGTGGAAAACCTTTTTTCTCATAGCTGCAACTGTATTTCTAAGGCCCCAAATTATGCTATTTTTAAGCCATTTATTCACTTTTTGAGTCATGAATTTATTTTCCAGGTTAAAAAAAATAGTCTCTTGCATAGTGACAAACCAGAGATTTTTTAGAATCAGTTCATTTTTAATCTCCTCATTTACTCAAGATTTAAACCAATTTCTTATGTATGATAATGCTGGTATCCATGATACTTTGCTTGTCTACTTATAGGACTCAAAAATGAACTTGAGGGAGAGTCTAAAAAACTCTCTGCTTTGCCACTATGCTTTACTTGTCTACTTATAGGACTCAAAAATGAACTTGAGGGAGAGTCTAAAAAACTCTCTGCTGTGCCACTATGGACTCACTCTCTTGGCTCAAAAATACAAGAATTGATAGCTAAGAAATCCAGTTGTGGGCTTGAGAATAGTTGTCTTCCATACCACTTACTAGCATATGCACAAGCATGGGCTGTGGAAAACATCTACCTTAAGGGCTGCGACTAGAGGTTTCCTGCCATTTCTGGAACTGCAAGATTTCCACCAGATGAATTACCTCCTATCTAATTGTTAACAAAAGTGCATGATCGGCAGCAAAATTTCAATCATATTAAAAATTTGTCACATTAGAGCCAAAAGATTTCAGAATCGAGTAGGAAAATTACAATTCTGTTATTCTGCATATGCATAATTTGCATATAGTCCATATTGGCAAACAAGAGATTTTTTAGAATTGGTTATTTATAATTTTCTCATTTATACCGGTACTCTAGATTTAAACCAATCTTATGTAAGATAATGATGGTATCCATGATACTTTAGTGGTCTACTTATAGTATATATACTCCAAATTGAACTTGAGGAAGAATCTAAAAAAACTGCTTTGCCACTATGTCATATACTATAGTAATACTAGGAATAAGGCATTTTTGCATACATTCATGATTCAGTATCAAAGAGCCAGTTCCCAAAATTGAAAATGTGGCACAAGGTTGAAAATTGATATATTTTCTCTAACATCATCATCATGGCTCCAAAGTTATCAAGTTTAAGCAAATTCTAAGCCTACTGGCTCAATCACACAGATTATGCTGATATTTTTGTGTTGAATTTTGATTCTCTAAAGAATGTAAATCATGTTTCACAATAAATATTTTTATACATATATAAACAATAGCAAATGATTGATACAGAAACTAACCGCTAATGAGACGGGAACTCCTGCTTGCTGTCATTTCCGCCTGTTCTTAGCTTCCTTGCCTAATTTCCTCTGTTAAAAGAAAGAAAAGTAGCTTATTTTTCCCCACAATGGAATTATGTTTAAATCTGCAATCTATGGAAAATTTTGTCTGATATTCCACATTGTAACTTGGTTTGCATTACAATTGATGCAGGTCAAGGTGAAGGATAGGATCAATACAGGTGGCTGATACCATTCCATGTTCTGTTGATCAATTGATTGTGATGAGATCAGCAACTAAAAATAGAGGCCTATTAAAAGTCAAGATGGCTTGATAGAAAGTTTGAAAAGACAACAATATACAAGAGACCCTGCTTAAGTCTGGCACTACAATCATACATCGACACATTTCAAGCCAATTATTGGCAACTTCAAAGCAATGAATTTGCAGTATCACTCTATTTTGTAGCATACTTTATTAATTGAGTTAGCATGGATGGTCATTTGAAGTAATGTGATTTTATTCTCAGTTTGAGTTTTTTCAATCATATTTTGAGGCAATGTTTTTGAAAAAAATATTCTATACTCTGTATTATTTAACATTTTTTTCTCACAACCTTTCTAGTTACTACTGCTTAGCTCCCACGCATGGTGCACATATTTTACTGCTCCACATGGAGGCAAATTTTACAATTTCCCCAGGGAGCTAAAACATTCAGCCAGCCTGGTATTCACTACCAATATCTTAATTCAATATCTTGAGATGCTTTAATAGATTGAAAATAATTCAATCAATTAAATTGCCAGAACTGAACCAAGTAAAAATGCTATAACCATTAACATTTAACAATTTAGAAATGAGTGATAATGCTGAAATAAATATGTACGGTATATATCACTCAGAATTTTATAAGTATTTCCTGAACAGAAATGTTGAAATCAATACATAGGGGCTTGCTTAGAGCCTCCAAGTTTGGTATGTGCCTATCTTTTTCAAAACAAAGCATTTGCCTTGGGACTTGCACTACTTACTGCAGTCAAGTGAAAAGTCCAGCTCTCCTTACAAATACTGTTAACAGGTCTGTTATGAAGTTTTGTGAGTGCCATTAAATCTGTGGTCTTATCAGCTTTGATTTCTAATATGTATCTGCTGTATTTAAAATGTTCCAGGCATTTATTTGCCTCCTTTTACTACCTATGTCAGCAAAAATGAAAATCAAATTATGTCAAAATTCTGCTTTTAAACTATATTAAGCTTTCAAGTATTAGCTACATTTCTTGTAATAATCAAGAAAAACAATTAAGAACAGAATCCAACATATGAGAGAATGTATAGTAGGATCTTTGATACCGTCATCATAACAAGATTCACTATTTTGCTAAAATTGTCTGAGATACACAATATATATAATTGATCCACACTCAGCATTTGTGCTGGGGTTTACATATGGCATTATCTCACACCACTCTCATCATACCTTTGTGAAAATCATTCCTTGAAACTTGTAAACGTGTTCCCAAGATTTGTTCCCTGTTGACATCTGTCCCCAAGATTTGTTCCCTGTTGACATCTGTCCCCAAGATTTGTTGCCTGTTGACATCTGTCCCCAAGATTTGTTCCCTGTTGACATCTGTCCCCAAGATTTGTTCTCTGTTGACATCTGTACCCAAGATTTGTTCTCTTTTTTAAAGACTTGCTGTAGACTTGTTTACTTGTGTAAAATTTTTATGATGAGCTCATTTTAAATTTGTGTTATCCAATCCACAATTGTGGTCCTTTTACATTTTTTGCTGTTAATGTTGTTCTTTTTTATGGAAATTTATGTTTAATCTATTGTGAATTCTCTTTTCCAGATTTTTGACAAGCTTCAGCTCTACCAATTACACAGCAATAATGTCTTCTCCACACGAGCTGCCTTTGGACACCCCCATCCTGTTCCTGCCTTGCACTGAGGCCTTCAATGGCTTAACTGAGAAAGAACGTCTGTATGCTCACCACCTCTCGCGTGCATCGTGGTGGGGGGCTTTTGTCACCTTCTGCCAGAGTTCTCCTGAAGCCTCTGACATTTTCTGCCTGCTCACCAGGCTATTCAGATCCCAGCCTTTGGATAGCCTGAAGGCACAGGCGGTTGAGAAAGGTGTTGTAACGGAAGATGAATTCCAATCACTGCTCATTTACTACTCTGGACTTGTGTACAATTGTGGTAATTATTTAGGTTTTGGCGATCGTAAGTTTGTGCCCACGATCACGCGTGAGCAGTTGCTTGCGCTTGTCAAGCTTTCTAAAGCCTACCTAGAATGCTCTGATAAGATCATCCAGTTCTTCAACCGTGCTGCTGATCGAATGTACGATCTTTCAGATGATAAGAAGTTCTTTGGGATGCCTCCCAACGGAATCACCATGTATTTCTCTTCCAATTGCACTCAAAAAGACGCCGAACTCTGCAAAGAGTACATGACTGACCGCAACATCGAAGCTTGGAACACGAGATTGATCAAGCACGAAGATGGAGACAAAGTTCTCTATGACATCAGGCTTGCTTCAGTCGAGAACGGTCCAGCTGAAGGCATTACCAGGAAAGAGGACTTGTTTGAGGGCCATTCTTTCACTATTACTAGAGGAGATTACAGCGACGTCTTGAAGGAAGTAGTCAAAGAGCTCGCACTTGCTAAGAAATATGCGGCCAATGACAACGAAGTGAAAATGCTGGACAAGTACATTGAGAGCTTCACGACTGGCTCAATTGAGGCACACAAAGACGGCTCCACGTACTGGGTGAAGAACAAGTCACCTGCGGTTGAAGTTTACACTGGCTTCATTGAAGTGTACCGCGATCCGAGTAACCAGCGCGCTGAATTTGAAGCTTTCGTTGCTATGGTGAATCGTGAGCAGTCTAAAAAGTTCGACACGCTCGTGCAGAAGGCGGAGCACGAAATACTCCCGCTCCTTCCATGGGGGAAGGATTTTGAGGAAGACGTTTTCATGCGTCCTGACTTCTCTTCATTGGATATCATGACTTTCGCCTCCTCTGGTCTACCAATTGGCATCAATATTCCCAATTACAAAGACGTGAAAGAAGAGCAAGGGTTCAAAAACGTGAGTCTCGCTAATGTTCTTTCTTCTCGCTCAGGTGACAAAAGTGCGCAATTCCTGTCTGAGGAAGACATTGCTCTGCGGGAAAAGTTTGGTTCCACTTCCCTCGAGATCTGCGTGGGCCTCCATGAGTTGCTGGGTCATGGAAGCGGCAAGTTCTTGAGGAGGAAAGAAGACGGTTCGCTTAACTTTGACCCTGCGACAGTGAAGAACCCTTTCACCGGAGGAGAAGTGAGCTTCTATGAATCCGGAGAGAACTTCCAAACCAAGTTCACGAGTCTCAGCAGTGCTTACGAAGAATGCAGAGCTGAGACAGTTGCTCTCTATCTCTGCCTCAACGATGATGTCCTTGATATTTTCAACATTCCTTCTGAAGACAAAGAAGATATTAAATACATGCTGTGGCTGGACATGTTCTATGCCGGAATCAAGGGCCTGGAAATGTATCAGCCAAAACAAGGTCAGTGGGGCCAGGCTCACTCGCAGGCTCGATATGCTATCCTGCAGGTAGGTTTGGAAGCAGGCCATGGTCTTGTGCAGGTGAAGGAAACCGTAGGAAAGGATGGTTTGCCTGACCTGCTGCTCACTCTAGACAAGTCCAAGATAGCGACAGTAGGAAAAAAAGCCATGGGGGAATTCTTGCGTAAGCTGCAGGTCTACCGCTCCATGGGTGATGCCAAGAGTGGGAATGAGATGTTCCAGCGCTACTCACGAGTTGGTGACGACGGCGACTATCCCTTCGGCAAGTGGCATGAAATCGTCACTCGTAAGAGGCGCCCTAGGATGATCCTGACGATGCCCAACAGCCGCGTGCAGGACGGGAAAGTCGAACTTGTCACTTATCCTGCCGGCGCTGAGGGCAATGTCACCTCGTGGGTCGAAAGATTTTCGCCTAGTGAGCACGACGCCATCGAAGATATGCTCACCCAGTTCATGCTTACTCGCAACCAAGCTAGAGAGTGAGGCGGCAGTCTGGAGCATTTGTTACTCGTGCTACTTCATTGCGTTGAGCTAGAGGTTACTATCCACCTGTATCAAAGTGCTTCATACTTGTAGTGATGCATGCAAAGTTCCTTCATTTTTGTTTTCTTACGATGTTGCTTACCGCATTCTAGTTGTTCGTGGTAGAATCTATATTTTTGCAAATCTGCTTTTTCATGGCCTGAATTACTTTAATTTTAGATCACCATCTTTTGTTCCCTAATTATGTTTAATTATCAAATTAACATACGAGACGATTATCTCATCATACAAAACTAAATCAAAATCTTGTTAGTTTTAATCATTTGGACGCTCTGCCAGCGTTGATTGATCCTCCATGCTTACGTTTAGAGTATTAATTTGTTTATTGTTCTTATTTTATTTTTAGTTGAGAAATATTCCTGTATTGAATATTAAACAAGGTTTGGCGTCGACGGAGTAAGTGATGGGTCATTAAGCAGCTACTTTCGTCTCATTGCTGATTTCCTGACGCTTGCTTTAACTTTTAGGATGAGTGTGAGTACACGGAAAATTTTGTACCTACATTAATAAAACCTAAAATTTTTAATTATTTCATTATCACACAGTCCTGCCCCAACATTCATCCTGACAGCAACTTAGTCTAATCGAAACGTGTATGCGTATAACTAATCTGTGCCACCAACACCTGACTGCCAACCATTGTTGCTCGCGAGGAATGCAGCGCTTCACGCATTCACCTTGCGTCATCGCTCTGGTGCCACAGGAACCATGTTAAATACATGGGAGCAATTTTTCAGATATTTTTTTACTTTTGAATGGTAGAAAATTTTGCTACTGTTTACCTCATGGAAATACCCTATCTTAATAAATCTCTAACGAAAGTCTACCAAGTCCAACGGCAGTGCCTCCTTCCAGCATGGCACTTGTTATGGAAATAAATTTCCAATTTAAAATCTATCTGGAAATATTTTTATATTCATTGCCTAATTCCAGCACACGGAACCCTAGAAAAACGTCGATTTTACGTCCCGCGACCACGAGAAAGCGTACTAAACCTACCATGAGTTTACATATGAGGAACATGAAATTTCGATCATGAGGTGGACGTCATATTTACGAAATAAGTATATCTATCTATAGAATAGAAGTGTCGGCTTTGAAGAAATAGGCTCATGGTTCTATAGTTCATATTCTCACTTGAAGTAATAATAGACGATGAAATAAGAGTAATAATCATATAAATAACAGGATGACGAAAATACGAGAATTTTGTTAGTAAAAATGTTTGCAGAAAATACCACTGTCTACGTCTACCACGCACTTTCCTGAGCTTCAGCACACAAGCTCGTTAATTCATACGCGATCTTACTCCGACCCTTCGCATTGCGGGAAGCTATTCCTACCCGTTACTATTTCGTGATGATATTCCTACCCGTTACTGTATTTCGTGATGCTATTCCTACCCGTTACTATTTCGTGATGCTATTCCTACCCGTTGCTATTTCGTGATGCTATTCCTACCCGTTACTGTATTTCGTGATGCTATTCCTACCCGTTGCTATTTTGTGATGCTATTCCTACCCGTTACTATTTCGTGATGCTATTCCTACCCGTTACTATTTCGTATGCTATTCCTACCCGTTGCTATTTCGTGATGCTATTCCTACCCGTTACTATTTCGTGATGCTATACCTACCCGTTACTATTTCGTGATGCTAATCCTACCCGTTGCTATTTCGTGATGCTAATCCTACCCGTTGCTATTTCGTGATGCTATTCCTACCCGTTGATATTTTGTGATGCTATTCCTACCCGTTGCTATTTCGTGATGCTATTCCTGCCTGCTCACTGGAGTTTATCAGACGCTTGAGATACGAGTGGCAGAGTGGCTCAGGTGGCAGTCGGCAGTGATGATGAGAGTGCCAGACTTACGACAGGCTGGAGTGCCGTACCTGGAGGTGGCATCATGTGGCCACCAACAAACTATCCTCAGCGCACGCACTTCTTCTTTGAACTAAAATTTGCTCTATTTCTTTCGTCTTCGGGTGGAGCTTAACACCTGATTCCGTTTATATACTTCATGGAAGGTGATTTAGCTGATGTGCAATTTTTTATTATTTCTGGGTTGCTTCGTAGTGTTTTAAATAAAAAATTTTTGTTCTTAAGCATCCCAAAATCATGTCAAACGCATTTCAAGGCAATTAATGTATCCGAATCCCTATTGGCTCTATCCATGCGGATTATCAGGTTCCATTTCTCCTAGTGGCACGGCGCTGATTTAAGAATATCAATATAATTATAATATTGTACTTAATTTTTCCTCTTGACGGAGTTGTAATTTACTCATAATTTTTAAGGCTGTCAGCAGAGTATGGTAGGGACGATGCCGTTTTGAGCTTGGCTAAATGATGTAGAATAGGTGATTCCATTCTTCCAGTTACAGGAGGAACTATTTTAGCATAAATGCAATGCATAACATTTTATTTAGGTATTTTGACATGAGGTTCACTGTGGAATCGCAAACAATGATTTGTTTGCTTTTTATTATAACATTTTCTTTACATGATCCCTGTAGACATCAATTTGCTGCAGCTTCGTGTGGCTCTGTCATATTAAATTAAGCGTTTCATGACACGATTTATTTTATCGCACTGGCAGATTTTGTTTGAAAAATTAGGTGATGTATGAGACTCGATTGTTGGCATGAGATTTAAACGCAAGTGACCTTTAATCTGTTATTCACTGAAGTGATTCATCAAGATTCTTCGTGATCCGTTCACGATACCCGCCGACTCACGCCTCTGGTGACTCGCTGTATTGATTGGACTCGTCATGCATCATCTGTCGGTCAACTCATCGAGGAATAATAATTTTAAATACAATCTCATTGTCTCACTATTTGCATTGATTTAGCTTTAGGGATTTAGCGATTAAAAAATACTCTTTATGCGTTTATTCATAGTTAATAAATTTTGTCTGCTTATATATCAGTTATAAATACGTTTTAAGGTCAATATGAATGATATGGTTTCATTTGGTTTATAATGTTGAAGTTTCTTTGACTATTTGAATAATCAATTGGCAACAACAGCTATCCATCACCAATTTGTGAATGATGCCGTGTGCTTTGATCAATTATGATTTACCTAGGGATTTGACAGGTTAAAAAGCTTCATCCATGTGCTATAAGCAAATAGGTTGAAGTTTGTACACAAATCAGTGGCTAAATATCCTCCGCATTGGACATTTGGAAAAAAATGGTTCACTGTACGCCATGTTTATGAGGTTTCTCTTCGCGGTTAGTGTTATGGCTAACATCAAAGGTCTAGCAAACTATCGCAGTAAATGCCTACATCTACTTACCGCATGCGAGCTCTTCTGTAAATACAATTTCGTCGTCGGTGCCAGGGAAATATTCTAAAATTGAAGGAGTGATTCAAATATTTAATGATATAATCCCTGTTGCCAATGAGTATGGTGCCTGCCGTCCAATAGACTGTAGTTTATATAAAAAAATAACTACAGAGTTATGAAATTTCAGATCCTGCCACGTGAACAATAGTTTAGACAGCGATTGAACAGAGAAGTCAACTCCGGTTAAAACTCCGCGTACTTTACACCCTAATTTCGAATTATCTTAACAACTCGACACGGGGAGAACCACACGGGTCAACCGTCAACACGGAAACCTAACTTCACAACCTCAGTACGTAGTCCTCGAGATTTTGGTCCTGCGAGCAAAATCCCACCATGGAAGTTACTCGTCTTTTCAAATGCATTTCAGAATTCTCAGGGTGTCTCATTATTATATGTAAGCCCCGTAAGCTGCCATACGAAGTGGATCTATTGATTAGAAAAACTAGATTATCAGATACAATCCATCAATGATCAATCTAAATTAATCTTCTCCCAAGAGTTTAGAAGTGACAATTAAATTGCCTATGATCACACAAGTTATCATCGCTAGACCTATTCTGAATACAAGTCCTGGAAGCCGCAGCTGCCGCACCTGTTTCGCCTTCTGCGAAACAGCTTTCTCACCTGTTTTGCTTTCTCGGAAACAGTGGCCAGGTGGTGCATGAGTCACCATTATCACCAACCGGAAGTGCTTCCGTGAAGCGCGACTCCATCCGATATTCATCGCAGTCGAACGATACCGAAAGTCGTCGATAATTGATAGCGAGATGTGGATCTTTATTGATGGATGCTTCTTCTGAATTAACAACAATCTTCGGTTGTTTATTTATCAAAAACGTACAGTATAAAAAAAATTAGCACATGAATTAGGGAAGTGCTGTTAATTGCATTAACTTTAGTTTTTAGTGGAAATCGACTTGAATCATGCATGACTTTAGCATCTAAAATTCTGTTATTGTCACGTCGGCAGCATCTAAAGCGGTGGTTGAAAAACGTTTGGCAGTGAAAAATATTACACGTTATTTCAAATACCAAAACTTTTATTCTAGCATCCATGAAAACTATTTGAAACATAGATACCCACCAATTCACATTAACGTACAAGAAAGCTTGATTTCAGCTCTGATTGTTCTTGCTCTCATTGCGTTGCCAACATGCGGTAATTTTTCTGAAGAGAGGAGCACAGAAGACTGTTGTTTGCAAATTATGTAATACACAACGATCCGGCAATTTTTCAAGTTAATGCCCAAGAAAAGACGCCTAATTGAATCTTCTAAAGAGAAAATATCGTGAAATGTACACCACTGCGCTGACAATGAATCGGACGCGTAGGGGTGGTGGGCGAGCGGGCTGGCGGGCGCGTGCGCTGTAACGAGGTCCAGCGTGCCATCCAAAATCAATGGCACTGCTGACTGCTATTTCTGTGGCTCAAATTTCCATGTGGCACGCTCTCTTTTTCGGTAATATTATGAAGTCTTTAAAATAAACAATCTGGAAGTGTTTTTTAGTCTAATAATCGAGTGAAAAAGATGACAAAAACGTCACCCTGTTGATTAAAGCGAATCATTTCTTTTAATTGGCAACTCTCGAATTATGCCGCTGTATGCGTTTTGTGTGTTGTTTCGAGTCAGGAATTCTACGATTTGATAGTCACAAGTTATACTGACGTTGGACAGCTAAACATAATTTTATGAAGGCTACCCCAGGTTCTCAAATTTGACTTGATCGAACTTGGTGTTGTCGGAAAAGCTACTTAGTCCTACTGTTTCAGGAATCCAGGGCCTTCGTCCTCAGTAGCTGGAAGGAATAAGCATGAATTTTTCATATCACTGAGTCAGCTATGGCATGAATGCTGGGACGCTCTCTCTATATAATGGTTGGAGGCATCTGCCTCCTGGACTCAGCTGTTTATTGCGACGACCTCGAATGCACTCGCTCAGTACTCGCCTGGAAGTGGTTCGGGGTGGTTGTAGCCTTATTTCTGCTAAGCTTTCTTTGTGGTGGAAGATGTGCACTTGTATTTTCTTGTTGATGTCACAATATAACGTTACCTGTAAAGTTTGATTGCGCGCCATTCTTGTTCCTTCATTCATGTTAAGTTTTTAAAGGACTTGGAATGCCTTTTCAGCTTCCTTTTGGTTTTCCCATCTGAGTGATCGGTTGCTCCGCGCCTTCGGGCTTTGTGTTGCGAATCTCCCGTCGCCAACAAACTGTGTGATCGCAAAGTTATTATTCCACGTTTTAAAACACGTGATGAATTGGAGGAAGTGTCTCCCGTCCGATTAACGTATCCTTACTAATTACATATGTTCATATTTCCAGGCATGTAGGATTAAAGATATTCTCATACAAAAGGCTGTCAAAATATCACAAGTGTTTTTTTTTCTTCGAGCTTAGCTAGTGGCTAGTGCCAGTTGACTTCTGTCGTTTGTGGTCCAGAAATTTAATCCTTGTTGGACTGATGCAGAAATACCTAGTTGATTGATATGCAGTATCATGGGAAGTCACTGTAGAGAAGACCGCAGAAAGGTTCAGTTCTTGACGAAGGAGGCTCCAAGTTTGCGTGGTGTCTCGAAGATTTTGTTCAGAGCATCGGGGCTCTCAATTCGCACTCGCCTCTATGTGCGGACCAGTTCCTGAAGCCCATGGGGCTCCCATACCCGCGGTAAATCCTCGAACTAAAAGAAGAAAATCTTTTAAAGGGAGCTTCATTGGTGGAAACCATAAAATTTTAATAAGTTCCATCGACCCAGTTGATAAGAGCATACCAAAGTTGCCACTATTTTCAGACTCGAGCGGCGAGGGCGAGTCTAAGCAACGAGCAAAATGTCGAGGATATTGCTGTAGGTCCAACAGTCCAGAGTTTGAGAGGAAGTGTGTCAATGTTGAGTTATGTGAGACAAACGACAGGTTGACGGCTGCTAGGGATCCTTACTTCAAGTCTGTCGATTCCACTTATTATACAGCGTCTCGTGGCAGGACTAAACGTGATGCTTGTGGTGCTCCATCGGCGTTCAAGTGCTGCGCAAGGAGAACAGAATTACGCCGTCCATATAGACAAGTGTTACTTTGCAGTTTATGTAATTCAATGAAAGAAATACACCAGATTTTTTTCAAGTTTTTCAAGATTATTCTTCTGTTACTCCTGACAGACTCAAGTTTCGCCATTACCGAGGGTGAGCTAATGCATGGTAGTTCATAAGTTTCTGTAGAGTTTCTTCTTAATCTCGCGTGTTGTTGTATTGTACAACTTGTTCTTATATTCTTGTTCAATTCACCCGACGTTGATCGGTAACAGTATATATATTTCGTGCCGAAATCGCGGAATCGCCGATTCTATGGAATCGGCAGCCAGTTTGTCGAACCAGTAGAATAAGCATTTCGTTGCTGATTCAGAAAATCGGACTTTAGAGTTAGAGTTAGAGAATAAATCGACAGTTAGAGTTAGAAAAGGTTAGATTATGTTTGGTCAAGTTCCTTTATATTTAAATATTAAAAAAAAATTTTGAACTAGCGATCATTTCCCTTTTTATCCTCAGTCTGTTTATCGAATAGTTCCTTGGGTGAAGCTATGTCTAAGACAATAAAGCTATTAGATAGCATTGTTATACTGGAGGATCGTTCTAAGTAAACCACATTGTAGGAAAACTTGTAGTATATTTTGTTACGAAGGCTCGTGAGGTGAGAATTAGGATCCATAGTTCTTCAGCAAAGCCGCTATCCCTGAGAGCTGAGGTCACAGTCAGTCGACAAACGATCAGATGTGAAAGCTGCAACACCAAATCTTGCTCCGATGCAGACTATCAAGCCACTGCGTTGCTAACTTTGCCTTTTAGAGTTTTACTTAGAAAATCGGCTTTAAATTATAAATCATTATCAAGAACTATGGACTCGCTGCCTTTTGTTGATTTTCTCGGTATAGGCTAGATATTTTTTAAATGCTACATTAAATTCCCAGTGACAATTCTACACCAATTAAACACTAAAGTGAAATTAAGGAAAAAACTAAATAATAGAACTTCCTTCTTAGTAGGACGTTATATTTCATAAGATTTAAGAGCCACTGTAGCTTGGTGAGGTAGCAAGAGTCGCTGAGCGCCCGTAACGTTGACCACGTAAGGTCAAAGATGACCTCGGCTCAGGTCACTGACGTCCTGCCGTCTTGAGTGACTTGCAGCGTCTCGATGTGTCAATTACGCGGCCACCCTGCAATGGCACTCGATGACTCATCCACTCTAATTTAGCACAGAATTAATTAAAATAATTTCATATTTTATCTCTTATCTAATTAGTAACTCCCCTCAATAAATAAACTTTCTATACCTTGCATTCCTCTTCAATTTTTTGCTTCGTTCCTATTTTTTATCATCGTTTGATTTGTTTCGAATTAAAATTGTTCGAAACTTGGAGACCGGAGTGCCTAATTTGCTGAAATATTGCTGAAAACAATCTGAATGCTCGTAAAATACATTTAAATGTTAAACATACTTCATAATCCAGAATTAATTAAAAAACATTTCCGTGATTGTCAGACCTCAGCAGTCAATTAGATTGTGTCTGATGCCCATTTTGACGGCGATTTTTTTCATGTCTTACAAATTCGTTGATCTTACAGTGCGATTGTTCAAGTTCTGGAAGATTGAAGGTTGACTTCTTGTGACTGTTGCTTGTTGCCTCGCTGATGGCCTGCAGGGTAGCCTTGTGCGGATGTCGAGCGTCTAAGATGCTTTACTAAATTTTGTACGTATACTATTGGATTTTATACGCTCTACTAAGCTTGATCTAATTAGTAGAAAATTCTCTCCGCAATCGAACGTTCTATGCAATTTTTACTTCATATTGGATTCTGCGTTTGCCAAAATTTGTTAGGTGAATTAATCACTGATGGCGTAGGCACGTGATCTGGAATATTCACCAATGTTCGGTCAGTGGACTTGATTTACTTGTTCTGCCAATAAATAAATGTGTTCTGAACACCGAATTTTCTGAGGAGAATAAAATAGATTTTTTTAACTTATCAGAAAATTTTCGCCATTTGGAGATGCTGGTAGTGGATTTTTTCACTCTGTTACTTCGATATTTTGAAATCGTCTTTGAATGACATGCAACATTCATAATGTTGTACCTATTATGTTATTTATTATTTTTGGATTCAACAATGTCATGGAATCTCGCCTGATAGAAACTGGATTTCTCATTATCTGCACAGCAAAGAAGATTCAATAGTACTCGTTTTAATCTCTTTTGAGTGTACACCACAAACGTTGAAGGAGACATTAGTGATAAGTTCTGAACAATATGACTGATATTTCTAAGGACGCTCTAAACTTTGGCAGAGTATAATAGCAGCTAAAGGTTCTTCTTCCTTTTCGTCTTTTCTTTCGAGTACCTCGTATTATTTAATTCACTTTCTCTAAAAATAATAAAAATTTTGTTTAATAATGCTTTTGAATACATTTCAAACAAGATTTACGAATCAGGTGAGATTGATGTAAATGCAAAGAAAACGTCGAGGAAATTCACCTTATCGTAATCAACAAATTTGCAGGGATCAGCTTCATCATCAGTTAGAACTAATTATATAGGTGATGGAGAAGCATATCATAATTTTCACGGCTGCGTCGGCGCCGCGGTATATTTTACTCACCGTTCCCCAACTGCTGTTACCCGTATTTCGCTCACTTTTTCCTAAGTGCTGCTCACTTCCGTATTTTGCTCTATTTATTAGTGCTCACTCCTGTATTTTGCTCAATTTAGTGGCGCTAACTTCCGAATTTTGCTCAATTTAGTGGTGCTCACTCCCGTATTTTGCTCAATTTAGTGGCGCTCACTCCCGTATCTGGCTCGCCCCAGATCCTGGAAGCTCTGAGATTCACGCGAAGGCTTCGGCGGCGGAAACGTCAGCGCGCAGCAAGCAGGTCAAGGGAGCGAACACGCGCCGCCCCCTGGTGGTGAAGCCGGAGTGTGGTGGCCTCTGTGTGAAGTGTGTGGTGTATGTCTGAGCTGTGTTATGGTGTGTGGTGTATGTCTGAGCTGTGTCAGGTGTGTGGTGTATGTCTGAGCTGTGTCAGGTGTGTGGTGTATGTCTGAGCTGTGTCAGGCGGGTGGTGTATGTCTGAGCTGTGTCAGGTGTGTGGTGTATGAGCTGTGTTAATTGGGTGAAGTATGTGGTGTATGTGTGAGGTATGTTGTGTATGCTCGAGCTGTGTTGTCTGTGTGTGGTGTATGTGCGAGGTGTATTGAGTGTGCGAGGTGAGCGGTGTATGTTTGAGCTGTGTTGATTTATCTGTGTTAATTTGTTTGATGTGACATTGTGGGTGTGGGGGGTGATCGATTGGGTGACATTGTGGTATTTGATGTGTTGACTACTAAGTGATGTGTACGTGCTGTATGAATTTTCTGTGTGTCTAATGGAAGTGTATATTGAATGTATGTGTTCTGTGTGTGCGTTTTCTATATGTGTGCACTGTTTTGAATTGGCGTTAGGTGTGTGTTGCATAGCATGGCTCTGTATGATGTGTGTGCTGTATAACATGGCTCTGTGTGAGGCAGATGCTGTATAACATGGCTCTGTGTGAGGCATGTGCTGTATAACATGGCTCTGTGTGAGGCAGGTGCTGTATAACATGGCTCTGTGTGAGGCGTGTGCTGTATAACATGGCTCTGTGTGAGGCGTGCGCTGTATAACATGGCTCTGTGTGAGGCGTGTGCTGTATAACATGGCTCTGTGTGAGGCGTGCGCTGTATGTAATAACATGGCTCTGTGTGAGGCAGGTGCTGTATAACATGGCTCTGTGTGAGGCGTGTGCTGTATAACATGGCTCTGTGTGAGGCGTGCGCTGTATGTAATAACATGGCTCTGTGTGAGGCATGTGCTGTATTTGCAAGCTTTTCATTTAAATCATCACAGCGGCGTCCCTGACACACTCAATGATCTCAAGGTCGCGGTGCGATAAATGCACAAAATTATTTCTTTCATTCGAGGTCGTTATGAAATGTTTCATCTGAACAAATAATTGAAAATAAGTCATATCAAGGACGAAAAAATTGTGTATCGTAGTAAGATTTGCAATGCCACAATGCTGCACAGAAATACTTTTACTTGACTCAATCATGCTACTAATCTCAACTGGTTCGAGGTGGGTCACGTAAATATGCTTTCCTCAATCGAGCTGTCAAGCTCCATTGACCTATCAAAGTCCCACATCGCTCATCAGTGATGTCGGTAAGCGCAATAGATTGCTTCGGACTTCTGTCACCGGCAAACTCTATCTATTATTGAGTCGTGAAATTAGCAGTGATCGTTGTACCTTTGATTGTGTGGTCCTTTCAATGTAGCTATTCTCAGAAAGCAATCAAAGGTCAGTGAGCCTTGCAATCTCTTATCCATTACCATGATTGCTGCCTCTTGTCTGCTACTCGCCGAGCCGAGTTACGCTTCATTGCCTGCCTTGGCATGGGCTCATTGCGACTGCAATTTATTCCTCATTATATTTGTCCTCTTTCATGAGGGGATTAACTGCGCGGGTGACATTTATGTTCGTAATAATAACTCATCAATGGGTGTAATTAGACCTGGCATTCTCTTCCTACTATTCAAGGAATTAGTAATTGAATAGTTTAGTCACCATTACAGAATTTGTGTGATCGCTTCGTAAAATAAGTTAAAATCTGTCCTGAAGGAACATAAGGTAGATATAATCAAAGTAATAATTTTACCTTATTTTGTGCTTGGCTTGATTCTTGTATCGTTGCTGACGTCGCTGTGTGTCTAGAGGCTACACAGGGACACTCATGACTTCTGATTCCTGTGTAGATTTACGAATAAAGTAAGAGTCAGCTCATGAGTTGCAAAGATATTCTAATGGGTAACTTTCATGCGTCCTATTTCTCACTGAAAGCATGTTTTTATCTTGAATTTAAATCTATGTACATCTGTTATACTTTTTCAGGTCGTAGCTTTGTGATTGCAGTATTGTAGAGAATTTTTTATAACAATAAACTTATGTTATTGCATGTACAACCATTTCATTTTACTCATCAACCATTTCATCTTTGATAAGATTAGTTCATATCTCCTGATCTTGCCAGGCTCGTTACGTTGTAGCTGAACACAACAGTCACGGTCATTCAGATCACTAGATGCAATCCAATGTTTTTTTTTAACGCGCTCATG